GGGTTAAGTGGGTAGGAGAAGAGTAAATGAAACAAGATGGGATTGGGAGGGAGACAAACCATAAGTGACTCTTAATCTCACAAAACAAACTGAGGGTTAATGGGGGGAGGAGGGTTTGGAGAGGGGGGTGGGATTATGGACATTGGGGAGGGTATGTGCTATGGTGAGTGCTGTGAAGTGTGTAAACCTGGCGATTCACAGACCTGTACCCCTGGGGATAAAATTATATTATATGTTTATAAAAAATAAAATTAAAAAAAAAAAAAAAGCAGTCCCACTTTGATCCAATCTAGGTATCTTTTCCAACAATGGTGTGCTGAATTGGATACAGTTTAAAGTCTCTACGTTGCCCATGGGCTGTATGTAGCCAAGAGTTGTTTTTCTTATTAATCCAATTTTTTCTTAAGGACTAAATGACTAACTCTCAACTCTAGAAGCCAATGACCCAGAAGGAGGCTGGTCTAGATCGCACAGTCGGGGCTGAGTCGAGTCACCCTCTAACTCTGAGCCCAAGGTTTGGTCAAATATCTTATTAGTGCTCGGCACTAGCAAAAGTGGCAGTTATATAAATAATGTGTGTCCATGAGGAATACGTTCAGCTTTGAGGGAGAGGGGAGAAGCAGGCTTCCCACCAAGCAGGGAGCCCGAGGTGGGACTCAATCCCAGGACTCCAGGATCAAGACCTGAGCTGAAAGCAGATGCTTAACTGACTGACTCACCCAGGCGCCCCTCCTGCTCCACCATTCTTACCATACGCCTTTTGCCCCGTGGTGGAAGGACAGCTTCTAACTTAGCAGATAGCATGTCCCAGCTTCCAGCAGGGAAAGGACAAAGCACAAAGCTTTCTCCTCAGGAAACTTTGCTACCCCCCCACCCCCCAAAAAGAAAACCTTCCCTGGGCATTTCTCACTACAATTCCCTGGTCAGGACTGGATCCCATGACCACCCTAACTACAGGGGAGGCCGAGAAATCAACTACTTAAGCTTTGCAGTCTCCATAGGAAAGGACGTCAAAGGAGAAATTGATTGAAATGGGTGTGAAGTCATCCAACCTTTAGAAGAGAACCTAACCCAGGCTTACATACACATGTATTTTTAAAAATTAATTCATGCAGCAACACTTCCACTGAAGGAGCGTAGGGAGAAAATGTTTTGGTGCAGTCTTGGGTGGGGGGTGCTTGACAGGGCTTAATATCACCAGCACTGAAAGTAATAAATGTTATCCCTCTTTTCTATCATGAATATGAATGATGCTCTGAAGGCTGAAAGCAACCTAAGAATTTACGTGAGAAATGAGGCATGAAACATTTTTGAAAATATATTAGCCCAAAGTCTGTATTACTGCATATTTTATACCCTTTTCAATATGCTACAAAAGTTCTGAGCCATCAACTGAATGCTGCCAGAAAAGAACAAATAAGAACAAGGATACAAAAATAAATGCTGGGAGTCAAGTTACCCCCAAGATGTTCTTTATGGTCGGTGTAATGATCACAGTACCGGGCAGATGGCTTTGCTTCAAACTCTCCCCATCGGCACTTGTCCTGCAAGGTGGGTTCTCCAGCAAGTTTATCCCAGGCCAAGTAGTCAGAGATACTCATGGAACTAAGTTGGTATTGGAGATAGAATTCCATAAATGCTTCCTGCCCCCACCTCCTGCCCCTTGGTTCCTTGCACTTTCTTCTAGGCCTGAGATCTTTCCTCTTATTTTGAAAACATGACAGAAACATGTCTAGTCGAGGGGTTCCTGATGGGGAATTCAGTTAATGTTTAAATTCTGTATTATGAATGTTTTTATTGTCTAAAATATATTTTCAGGCATAGTCCTGTGATAATCAGAAGTATGAATATATCTTATATCCCATGAACTTTATCCCATGTTAATGATATTCAGTAAAATGGCCAACCATGTGAAAATATGTACCCTGTTAAGATATTATGCATTATTTTAATCCTTTTTTCCTTTACATGATTTTAAGAAGTTCTGCAATGAATATACATTATTCTCACGATAGGAAACAAATGCCAACTTCGGTTTTTCCATGAGGTTATTGTCTTACCAGACCAGACATGAGCCAAGTTTGGGCTTGTAAAGTGAAACTGTGTGGGGCATTATGTCTGTAGACAAGTGCTTGTCCACTGTCAGGATGCCAGAGAGTCTCATGGTTCATGTACTTAGCATCATCATTTCATGCATAAAAATGTCTATTCCTGGCCCCAGACATGGTAATTCAGTCGGACAGGGGTGGGGCTCAGAAGTCTGCATTTTTAACAAGTCCCTCATTCTTTTTTTTTTTTTTTTTGAGAGATTAAGAGAGAGAGCACACAGGAGTGAGGTGGAGGGCAGAGGGAGGGGGAGAGAGAGAATCTTAAGCAGACTCCACCCCAGCAAGGAGCCCTACACAGGGCTCAATCTCATGACCCTGAGATCACGACCTAAGCTGAAAATAAGAGTTGGGCGCTTAACTGACTGAGCCACCCAGGCACACCCAACTCCCCTTGTTCTTTTTTTTTTTTTTAAGTCCCCTCGTTCTGATACAGATAGTCCCCGGGCTACACCAGAGAAACATTGCTCTGATAAGTCTTTTGCTCACTTATTGAGGCCGCAGTCTATGTCGAAATCCATTCTTATGGATCCCACCAATAAGCCAGTCTGCCCCTTCACACCAGAGAATGGTGCCCCCTCTGCCCCACCTTTCAAAGGGTAAACTGCTTTTATTTTTCCTCAGTCATAAGGAGTTAATAGGTTAATAATTTGCAGAACACTTCTTAATACTTAATAATACTTCATTATACTAAAGTATTCTGTCATACAGAAAAAGTGTTTCTTTTTTTTTTCTTTTTTACTTTTAAAAATTTTACTTATTTAAGAGAGAGCAAAAGTGAGAGAGATTACAAAAGGGAGAGAGAGAAGCAGGTTCACCACTGAGCAGAGAGCCTGATGTGGGACTCGATCCCATGACCCTGAGATCATGACCTGAGCTGAAGGCAGACGTTTACCTGACTGAGCCACCGAGGCACACCAGAAAAAGTGTTTCTTAATTAGTTAAATTCAACTGAATGTCCACCATGAAAGAGAAGAGAGATATTAAAGGTACATAAGACCAACCTCTACTCCCAAATGAAAATTTCTAGATTAGATATCTCCAGCTTGTCTGTCATTGCTTATGAATTCCCTCAACTGATCTTTAGTGATAAACTATACAGTACAAGTGGATGGTTACTATTCTAGAAGGATCATTTCTCAGCCAATGAAAATGCCAGAACAACTGGTGTAGTAAAGATCTACCTTTAACCCCCCTTTAAAAAAAAAAAAAGATTTTATTTATTTATTTGACACAGAGAGAGAGATCACAAGTAGGGAGAGAGGCCGGCAGAGAGAGAGGGGGGGAAGCAGGCTCCCTGCTGAGCAGAGAGCTCAATGCGGGTTCGATCTCAGGACCCTGAGATTATGACCTGAGCCGAAGGCAGTGGCTTAACCCACTGAGCCACCCAGGCGCCCTAACCCTTTTCTGCTAAGAAGTTTTTGCATCATTTTCTTCATTCTCAGAGATGGTTCTATTTTTCTTCTAAAAACCTAAAGAAGGACTTCTCTTGGCACAACACATGTCTGGGGAGGTCTTACTGTAAATCAGCCTTCATTTATTTCCTGGCTATTAGACAATGTTTCACTTAGATACTATATCTGAGGCCTCATCTAAATTTAGGAGAATGAGACCACAGATTTTAGAAATAATCTGCCAGCTGTGCTGGTGAAAGTGTCCTGAAGCCCTTGCAAAGAGTAAGAAAAGGAGGAGAGGGAGGGAGAAGAGAAGAAAGGAGCCTCAGGGACAACCACAATAGAATTTTTTAAGCATCTCCTAAATGCTAGCCATGCAGGGAAGTGCTTTAATAAAGTACCTCACTTAAACCTCCTGATTAAGCCAGGAGATGAATGTTCTTTATAGCCTGACTCTACAGATCATGAAAACTGAGGCAGAGAAAAATTATGTAAATTGTCCCAAATCACAAAGGTACTAAGGGCCAAACTAAGATTCAGAGCTCTGTGTGTTTCCAGAACTCTCCACCACGCACTGTGGGACACCTCGCCGGTTGAAGGCACTCAGGCAATTTGGGGCAGCCCCCCTCAGGAGCTCACTACTATCACCCCGGCAGCATCGGAACAGCCAGGAGACACTGTGGCTGATCACAAGTTACGGTCCACTATCTAACCCATTAGAAGGCCTCCGACAGCCTCAGAAATCAGGCTGGATTTAGGAAGGCGAGCTTCCTTTCCTCACCAAATCAGTCCCTCCCAATTCAGACGCTGTATCCTGTCTTCCAACGGATCAATCTACTGCACGGAGGAAGGCTGGTTCTAAATTTCCTAATAAAACTATCAGAATGATGAAAGAGAACACGATGGGCTGTCGGAAAAATATCAAAAATCAGTGTGATGCTTGAGTTGGCTCGATTGGCTCATATACTGTTTTCTATTACAAGGTGAAGAGCAACTCTTGGGCTGTTAATTAATGTTATGTTATTATTATGAGGGAGGCCCAAGGTTCAGACATTCTTAATTGCCTGAACTCCTGGGCTAATTAATGCAATTTATAAGGGATATGTCAGGAATAATAGTATATGTTTTTATATCAAACGTAAAAACATGAGGGACGTGCCCCTCACTGAAGGTTACCAGATAGTTCTAAGCACTTAACATGGGTCTTGTCAGAGAAAATCCCAGTACATTAATTTAATAGGCTCAGAGTTACTTATCAAAAGGCTGTAGAGCATAATGTTTTGCATAATCAAATGGTTTATTAACTCAAGTCATCATTTGATTTTTTTCATTTATATTCCAATTCGCAGAGATATAAGCATATCAATTACAAAAACAGCCTACAATATCTAAATACAAAATAGCTATGAGGCGAAGTATTATACACAGCATCTAGAATACTACAGAGCTCAATAACAAGATGATTTTCACAAAACACATGCCAAACGATTATTCACATTACCTGACAGGAAATGCCTTGTGGTTTTTTTCCTTGAAAAGTATGCATGTTATTACTCAAAAGAAAATCATCCTCATTTAGATCTATGAAAAGAGATAAATGTTATGTAGATTGTCAGAAATTACAGGACTTAAGAAGTTTAAGTGCAATTTAATACTCTTTATACTTTTCATTAGTCTATTATGGTACTATATTGCCTAGATCATAAATCTTTATTTTCTTAAAGATATCTTATTCTCACAAGAAACAGGTCAAAATAAAATACAAATTTAACAAATTAACAAATTCAACAAAGAAAAAAAGAAAAAATGCCACTGGCCAGCTGGGTATCTGAGCAAGCATGGAACCTCTCTGGGACTCAGTTTCCCTCTCAGTAATAAAAGAGTAGCATACTACCTACTAAATTCAGTTACACAGTTACCAGTTTGTGGCCTCTGCTGTAGAAAAAGGAGGACGTTAGAGGGTCTTGAACTAAGGAAGAGACATCAGAAAAATGGTATTTTATGAAGATTAGCTCTTTGTTTTGTGGTCTTACATATGTTTATTTATTTGCAATCTCCCAAATATTGCCCTATAAGAGAGTATTTAGAAAACAGAAGCAATTTGGTCCTAAGTAGTAACGAAGTTGCAGTAGTTGAATTAGGCAACATGCAGCTGTACTTTCGATCGATGGCCACAGAAATATCCCTCACACCACATATTCCACAATGTGAACTTGGTATGTCTCCATCAAGAAACAGAGTTCAGGGTGCTTGGGTGGCTCAGTGGGTTAAGCCCCTGACTTCAGCTCAGGTCATGGTCTCAGGGGTGCTGGGATCGAGTCCCACATCGGGCTCTCTTCTCGGCAGGGAGCCTGCTTCCCTCTCTCTCTCTCTCTCTCTCTCTGCCTGCCTCTCTGCCTACTTGTGATCTCTCTCTGTCAAATAAATAAAAAAAAAAACTTAAAAAAAAAAAAAAAGAAACAGATTCTCCTCTTATTCAACTGAACTTAGTAACTTAGTAACTCACTTATCACAGGACAATGCAGTGGAAATGATGCTTTGTGACCCGTCCCCTCCTCCTAAGACTAGGTCAGAAGAAGCCTTACAGCTTCTGCCTTGTTCATTTGGGATGCTCACTCTCCAGACACTTCCTCCTGTGGTGTGTGAAGCTCCCTCTCGTGTGTCCCTCCCTCTTGCAACCCAGTCCTTGTCCAGGGTGGGGCTTACATCACCTGGAGAGGCCACATACTGGAAGTCTCCACCGAGCCCAGCCTGCACGTGATCCCAGAACAGGTGCCAAATATATAAGTGAAAAAGTCTCTAGATGATTCAAGCCACCAAATATTTAAGTCCTCCCCAGTCATTCAAGAGCCTCAGATATCATGAAGCCCTGCCCTGAATGAATTCCTGGCCCACAAAATCCTCGAGCCTAATACAAGGCTGTTTGATGCCATTAAATTTGGGGGTGGCTTTTTTGCAGCAACAAGATCATGAGAACATGCAGAAACTACTTAAGTGAGTCACAGATGACCGCATACGTAAGAATGCACATCCGACGTACACGTTCAGACTCCAACTGCCCCTCGAATGCAGATGTGGGGAAGAAATGAGATGAGGTAAAAAAGCAAAATAATCTAATAATCTAATAATTCTAATCAGCTTTCAGGTGATTCTAATGAAGATAGTCCTAACCACACTCAGGAAACTCTAACCCTAGGAAGAACTCCACTAAGGAACTGAAGGGAGACTCATTTGTCCAAAACACGAAGGTGCTGAGTGTTCTCATCACTCGATTCAGAAAAGTCCTCCTTGGAAGCAAGAGGCCTGCTTATAGCAGCCTGTGCTCAGGGAGTTTCTTCCCAGGTGAAAAACGGATGTTCAGGTGTGAAATAGGGCTTTTCTCTGTCACTCCTTCATGTGATCCAGTCTAACCAAAGTTAAATTACATGGTCTTGGAAAACAATTTTTAAATTAATTGGTGGTCCCTAAAAATTAAACAGAATAGCAAATACATTTGTGACTTTATCTATTTGTCATCCTGAAAGTGAGGGTATCAAGCCAAAAAAGAAGAGAATTAATAAGGTCTGGAAAAATCAAGCCAGAATGTTTACATGCATACTCCGAAAAGGCGGGCCAAATAATAATATTGACTAGAATTCAGGAAAGAAGGTTTCAAACCAATGGCAATTCAAATGTGAAACCGGAAGCTCCTAGTAACATCCCTCCTATAATAGGATTTTTGGTAATGAATCTCATCAAAATCATACGTAAGGAGTATTTATTTTTAAAATAATTTGACAGCAATATGGGTGAAATTAATATTCCCCTCAATACTAACCACGTTTCCTGATCTTATCCAGCCCTTTACTTCCTTTACTAACAGGCCAAGTTTTATTATTATTTTTTTGCCTATTTTCTGTTTTATGGAATAGTCTCTCATAGTCACACTGTTTGAAAAATCTCTAAATATGTTGTTTCCTTTTTATTACTTTTTTAAAAAATTTTGCTTTGCCTTTATTCTTTGTACTTTCTGACATAAAATATAAAAAGCTTATTCCTGATACCACTATCTTTCCTTAAATCAAAACTTGATCTTAGGTAAACTCCAATTCACAGATTTCAAAGTTTGTTCTTTTCAGGCTTGATTTAGTTTCTTCATAAAATTAAGGCCAAAATCAATTTTAAAATCATAAATTTAAAATTTTAAAATTGATCTTGATTTACTCTAATGAATATTATGACTATTCTGCCTTTGATGGTGCTGAAAATACAATTGATATGAATTACAGATTAATTTTCCTTGATACCTAAACTATGTCAGTGCTTTAGTCATAAAGTCCTGGGCACTTAATTTATTTTGCATTTATTTTGCAGATGTAGTCTCTTTTAACAGCACAGATGGAGGTTTCAATAAAACTCTTCTTAGCAGAAGGAAATGGACTAGATAAACTAAAAATATTGTGCTTCTGGCACTCAATGTTTTCTGGTAAATTTTGTCTTAACTGACATAACACAGTCATATTCTTGAGCTATGTGAATATCTATAGATTCAAACACCAGGCACAAATTCTTGCTAAACATAACCCGTGGACATTTCTTTCATCAGGCCCCAATATTCTTTAGGCCTGAAACATTGTTAATATGTGTCATCAACAAACACCTTTTTGAAATTGACACTGAAATGGAGAGAAATGGCCTTTTTTTCCCCTTTGGTCTTGGAGTTAGTAACAGATTCTGTAGGAGTTAGTGCCACTCCTACCATTTAATTTCCTGTATATTTTCTTCTCTTTTATTGAGGCTGCCTTCAGAATTTCATCATACGTGTTCAATAAAATAATGGGCTCTGGTGATAGCAACAAGGCACCCTCCAGTCTTCCTCTCCCTAAACTTGACAGACTGCCTATCCTCAGACACAGTAAACCTCTCTTCAGTAATTATGCAATTAACAGCTGAAAAGTAGTGTTTAAAAATGAGAAAGAAATATTGTGGGTTGATGGGTAGAGCGCTAATTGCCTAGAAATACTCTGAGCTTTCCAAATGAATCTCCTCCACCCATAAAATTCAAGTCCACAACTTGTGGCCCTCCCTTCCCCACTGAATTTCTCCCTTCAATTTACAGTGGCACGGATGGCCTTGGTCTCGGGCCATCAACTCTTCCTTGCACAGCATTAATCCCTAGGAAATGTCCTGTGACTCAGCTGCTACTGCTGAAAAGCCAGCTGAGCTTTTAGACACACACACACACACACATGCGTGCGCGGGCACGCGAATATATGGTAGCTTAAGATGCAGAAGTAACCAAAGCTGAGAAGGTTTCTGTAAAGGCTTGCTTTTTTTTTCTCTAACAAAAGCACATCTCTAATCAGAAACACCATACTGTAAAGCCAAGATTTTTTGGCTATATAATAAAATTAACTGTCTATGAATCCTAAAATAAAAAAAAAAAAAAAAAAAAAAACAACGGAGAAAATTATTTGCAAAAAAAAATAACAAATTGAATTATTAAGAAATGGCAAAATTTATAAAAAATAATCTACAGTACAGTTATAACTTCTTGATCCATAGATCAATATACAATAAGCTAAAAATCACATGTATTATTAAAGGGTCAGAGGATAGATTACGTGGATGAATGTCTGACTAATCTGTAGAGTGTGTGAGTGAACATAGCTGGCATCCACAAGGTAAAGATACAGTCCGATTGCAACATGATCTTATTAAGACATTTCCTATGTTGTGATTAAAGAAAATACCTAAATTCCAAAATGTTTCATCTATTTATTTATATAGAAAAAATTAGAACTATTTAAAAATTCAATTAAAATCATTTCCCAAAATGTTACACAATCTTGAATAAAACAGAAATATTTCAAAATAAATTATTTTCATAAATAATTACTTTGTAAATCTAAGAGCACTCTGAAAAGGTAAAATTTGGACAGATTATATAATCAAATCACTAAACTAATGATAAATATGCAGTATAATTCCTTTTGTCCCAGGATATTAAAAAATATATTTAATTAAAAATTAGAAACTCTTAAATAATCAATAACTAACATAATTATTTTTGTTCTAGTAACATTAGAGGGAGAATACCAAGCAACTTTTTATGCTGTTGTTCATGTTTGTGAACTCTGAAGACTTTTTGTTTTATTCATTACCTTCCCAAAGTTAAATAATTTTAATTTTGAAGTCATTTATTATTAATACATTTTACTACACCTGGCTGCTAATTTTCTCTTCTTGGGAATTTTTAAATTATGAAATGATACAATTTTGTATTAATAATCAAGGTTACTCTTCCATATTTTTAAGGAAAATTTAAATGTTTTAACAACTATTAATATATTAATGTTATTTTAGAGGGTTTTTCAATGGGCTGATTTGTAATACATTTTAAAATTCTTATAGACATTAAAGACTTTCAAATATTATTTGCAATTGATTCTTTGCTTCAACAGTCAACCTAATTAGATTCTACTTCCTTTCTATATGTCTATGAGTATCTATACACACCCAGGCACACGTATATATCCTATTAATAATATATATCTCCTATTCTAGTTGTTTTTCCTTTTTTAAGTAGACCACAATGCCCTGCTTATTTTAATAGGGAAAGATGTAAATTTTTCTTTCCTGCCCTTTAAGCTACTTTGGGAAAATGCAAAGTCAGCTGAACTGAATTTAGCAATTACCTTTTAGCTGACAGAGTCTTCTGATGTGGGAATCATTCTCAGGCTTGCGGGGTTCCTGCCAGATTGTGTCACTCACTGTTTTCCTTTCTAAAATAAAGCAGAGGATTGGTTAGCAGAATTCACAGTAACATCTGTCCAGTAAGTGTAGGAAGTATGAAATCAAAACAAGATAAGCACACAGTTGTAACTTGGTAAGAGACAGGAGAGCTCTGTGGTCCATCCTAGAGAGTTCTAGTGCCTGACAGACAACCCCCAAGTGTCCTGCGGGCCCCCATGTCTTTCCATAAACTACATAAGCACCCAGCATATGCGGTAGGATGCTGTTATTGAAATACCTGTTGGTAGTCTGTGATTACATTATTCTTGGAAGGACTTTTCCTGAATTAACATTTAGGTTTTCATGCTTAGTTCAAGTCTCCCCACCCTCCGCATTCTTCATCATTTGTAACAAAATGATCAAGTGTGTGGAGAGAACACCGAACTGCAATGGTTTCAAGAAACTCTCAAATCTTGAGTGGAAGAACGATGACTTGCTCGGCCCTGTCCTCCCACCACCCACCTAGAGCAGGGCCTGGAAGTGTGGTAAAGAACTAAAATGCGCGAACATGATGAATTAGAATCCCTTCTCGTCTCTTTACCAAAGATGATCATTCCACATGTCCTGTCATCATATTGATAAGGCAAATTTTACACCCAAAGCGTCACAGGGAAACAAAGTCAGCACGTCTGTGTTGTTTTTAAGGTCACTGTTTACTCTCCTATTTGACTACAGGAAGGGAATCGAGCATCAAGAATTATGTTAGGAAGGAAATCGCTATGGCCTTGTGTGTACAAACTGCATAGCAGGCTATGAGAAGAAATCTGATGGAAAATAAAACTTTGACTTACTTCCTTTTACTTAAGATTATGCATTATTTAAATCAGGGCTGATATGCAAAATATTTAAGAACTACTTGCCCACAGGGCCTTGACTAGTGAGATAGGACACAGCCTCTGTGGATGCTGCCCTCTGAAGAATATCGGACCTCATTAAGATGAAGACACTCTTGAAGATGCATCCATTGATGATCATCACCTGGGTCTGAATGAGCTTTTCAGATCCTACCTAGGAGACTGGATTTTGAGCATCCAACTCCTAGACTCTACCACAGAGAAAGGGCACCCACAAATTTAACAGGCTTCACTAAAAATAAATTATTGCCTGGGCTCCTTGGTGGTTCAGTTGGTTAAGCATCTGTCTTCAGTTCAGGTCATGATCTTGGGATCCTGGAATCAAGCCCCACATTGGTGGGGGGGGGGGTCCCCGCTCAGCGGGGAGCCTGCTTCTCCCTCTGCCTTTGCCCCTTCCTGATCTCTCTCAAATAAATAAATAATTTTTTTCTTTTTTTTTTTTTTAAGATTTCATTTATTTGACAGAGATCACAAGTAGGCAGAGAGGCAGAGGGGGAAGCAGGCTCCCTGCCAAGCAGAGAGCCAGATGTGGGGCTCGATCCCAGGACTCTGAGATCATGACCTGAGCTGAAGGCAGAGGCTTTAACCCACTGAGCCACCCATGACCCAATAAACAAAATCTTTAAAAAAATAAAGTATTGCCTGAATAATCCAGATATTTAAAAAGATTTTATTTATTTATTTATTTGTGAGAGAGTCAAAGATAGTGACAGAGAACATGAGTGGGGAGGAGAGGGAGAAGCAGGCTCTCCGCCGAGCAGGAAGCCTGACTTGAGGTTCAATCCCAGGACCCTGGGATCATGACCCGAGCTGAAGGAAGACACTAAACCAACTGAGCCACCCGGGCGCCCCTAATCCAGATGTTTTGCCACTGTGACTACTTTATAATTAGTGAACTATATTCTGTAAGAAAAGGAGAGATGTTATCCGTTAGCTTTCTAAAAGTAATTAATAGAATTAGATATTTACTTCAGAATTAAATAAACATCAAGCCTTTATTGTAACTACAAAAACTATGACCACAGAAACTAAAGAAAAGGTCTGATGTTTGAAATGCTGTGGAAGAGTCTTTTGTAATATATTTTTTATTTCTTTTTATTCACTCCTAGATTCATATATCTGAAAAGATATGGAAGAGGTCACCTTGACCATGGTCAGCCAAGCTAACGTTGAGAAGCCGGAAGATAATCAGCCAATAAACCATCAAAGAGAATTATATTTTTAATGTAAAAGGAAATTATTCTGAATAAATCAATGATTTCTTTGTCTTAGCCATTTACAGTTAGAATGGAACCACCTTCCTTTTAAAAAATTTCTTCTGTAGAATTCAAAGACAACTCAATTTGATTTCATTAATCACTTATTGTTGCTGTATGGAAGTGGCAGAAGAAAAGAAATTTTAGAGAAACAGAACAGATTATCTGCATGAGTCATCTTCTAAATTACTAACCAAATCCTTCGTTTTCAGACATAGATCTCCGGATTGACCTAGAAGAATAAAAGAACAGATATTTAAGTCTACACCTTACCCACTAAGCACGTATTATTTACTAATAATATTTTTAATCAAACAGAAATTAGATTACTTAGACATGCTTGCACTACGTTTGAGAGCAGAAATCCATTCTACCCCTAACTAAGGTCTATATATAGCCCTGAATTTTCCTAAGTACAGTTAATATAAGTATAATCTTGGCCTGGAAATTTCCATGCAATTTGGAAAAATTTTCATGCAACATTCATAAAACTCACACACACAAAAAAGTGGGCCACTTTTACATGATTGTATCTCGAGATAATCAATAAATAGTTAATATGGAAAAGCTCTTTTTGAAATAATTCCATTCAATAAATACAGAAAGGAGGACTAAATATAATCATGTACAATCCCTAATGAAACAATGGATCTGGGCAATAATCAACAGTTGCTGTTAAAACTCTTCATTGAAAGGCTAAAAGGGCAACTTTGTGCTGATGGCTCAGCCTGATACCATCTGAACCCACTAAGCATGTTCACAGTCATAAAACTACAGACAACCAAATATATGGGCTTCCAAAGTAATGCAGCAGGAAGCCTACAGTCACTGATAACCTACTTTTAAAATATATACACACATATCAAACTTGAACACTATCAAGCCCAAAGATCTACCTAAAGAAGTTACAGGAAACACACAGGATAGAAGAACATGTTTTTTGTTTTTCTTTTTTTAAATACCACAATGATGCAATCAGCAAGGTTAAAAAATGTGGAAAATTCCTCAGAACAAACAATCCAGTTTCTTCTAGCAATCAATGGAGAAGGACCTATGAATTAAGAGACATGCACTGCGATGATCCTGATTGGATCATGATTTAAATTAGCTTTTTAAAAAAAAAAAGCACTTGAGGCTCTCAGAAAAATTTTAACAGTGACTATATATTTGGTCATATTATACAATTTTTCTTATTTTGTTCTACTGCAGTGGTGGCACTGTGTGTGTGTGTGTGTGTGTGTGTGTGTGTGTATACATATATATATGTGTATATATATACACATATATATATGCTTACTTTTCAGCAATATATATCCAAATACAAAATTATGTGTCTGGTATCTGCTCTAAAAAATTGTGGAGGTTGGAGCACTAGGGTGTCGATGGGTAGAAATAAAATAAGATTGACTATAGGTTGACACTTGTTCAAGCTTGGTGATGTGAGTTCATCATTATCTCCTCCATTGTGTATAATTGAAAATTCCAATAATAAAATGTCCAAAACAGAAACAGAGAATAAGACTGTGCTGACTCGATCATGTTAATTATTTTACACGCTGGGTGAACACACACGGTCCTGTACCTATGATTAACTTTGGGGTAGCTTGAGCGTTTTCCACTATTTATATTCTTGGTAGTCATTAAATTAGTGCCACGTTCACTTTTACTTAAGCTCAGGTTTGTAAGAAAAAAGGTCTGTATATATAATTTTTGTCTTTATTTTATTTTTATTTATTTTTTATTTTATTTTATTTTACTTTTATTTTATTTTATTTACTTATTTTTATTTGTTAATACAAATGCTTAGGACACCTCTTGGCAGAGTTAGTGTTCCCAAAGAACCATTTATAGTATTGTAAGGTGAGGGGGAGGAGAAAAGCATGAGATGTTATCCCTTTAGGGGAGCGGTGGACAAGGGAATTAAGGAACTGGAGAGTCTTCAATTTAATTTTAATTGGTCACAATCGGAAGAGCACATTCACTGGTTTTGAAAAATCCTAATTAGTTGACATCAGGTACTTTCCCTCTCATCCATTCCCCTTTTTCCTGTCCATGTTTTGATATCCTCTGATTGATAGACGCATCAATCATAAGCCAATAGCTGTCATTTCATTTAAGGATTTTATTTGGAATCGGTGATTCCTTATCCGTGGCTGGAGGGAGACCCAGCATAGGCATCCCGCAGATTTTCAGATGGAGATGAGCTGTGCCAAAAAACCTTCTTTACTCCTGCTCTGGCTTAAAATGCCACCATTGTAATTTAAATAGTTAACTGTGCTAAAAGACAACTTCCCTGGTCGGCCAGGTGCTCTAAGCTGTTAATCCAATTACCTACTTCCTATGGGTGTGTTTTATATCCTTACAGGGACAAAGCTTTGAGCAGGTAAGGAAAACAACTATGTAAAAGCTCAGAGTGTCTTGGGGGCAGGCGAGCAAGACCCTCCTGAAAGACTCCAACCAGACAGAATTCCACAAAGGAACAGTTTGGTCTCAGAGCATTCAAAGTGCAAGGAAGCTATTCCATATCATCAGCAACCAATCTGGAAATTTCCCCATAAACCAACTTCCGGCGGCAGCCTGATGTGCTGAATGTAAAGCCAAGCCTGACCTAAATAACCCAAATCTCTTTACAAACACATTTTTCTTTGGATTAGCAGAACACTTCAGAAGATTAATAGATCACTGATAGAAGCATGTTTTTGAGAAGGCTCCCACTTTAATCTGAGCCTAGTCTGAACACATGTTTCTTCTTCTGGAAATTCAATTTTCACCTCTCTGTGGACAGAAATGTCACAAAACAGGTTTCCTATGCATCAGCATAAATAGATAAATGGTAGCAGAGTAAAACATATCTAGATTTGTACATGACAATTTTTAAAAAAGCACTTCGATAGGAAAACCACGAAAATATTCCATTCAACATGATAGAACTAACAGAACATAAAACTTACAAAGTGAACTTGACTTACTTTCTTTTTGGTTGTGCATTCTCAAAGTTAGAAACTTCCTGGAAAACAAAATGCAAAATAAAATAAAATAATACCATTCCAAGAAATCAGAAGGAGAATTCAAGAATGGTTCATCTTCGAGGATAATCTAAATGTAGTTCATTTTGCCCTTTCCCAGGAAGGTGACTGGTGCTTCCTCTCTGTATTTTGGTACTATATCATAGAATCTCAGTTCAAGTTTGTTTTTTTTTTTTCCTCTCTTTTTAACTTTGAGAGGTATAGAATGCTTCCTTTATTAACTAGGGTTTATTCCTTATTCTAAGCCCTGATCAGTTAATAACACAAGTGTTTTAAATAAAAACATGCAATTAAATCCTCATAACCTCAAAGTTTCCATTCCTCATCAACCCACCAACACCAAGGGCAGAGATATGCACTAGAGTATGCTAATTATATCACATAGTACTTTCCTTTGAGAAAGTTCAATCATTCACAATACCCCGAGTGTGTGGAAATACACCTGTGATTCATCTGGCCTTTCTCATCAGAGCAACTGAATGTTGTGTAAAATCCCTTATACTTTTCGGGGAAGAATATGTCGCCACGTCTTTCACCATCCTTAAAAGAGCTTAAACTGCTCCCAGGCACTTTTAAGAACCCTTCAGATTTTCTTGTTATCGTTCATCTTCTCCTTCATTCAAAACCATTTACGTTTTTGATGTTCAATTGCTTTCTGAACATCCACTATATCATAGACAACAGACCCTACTGTAGAGAGGTTTGATTGGTATGGTAGGAATTTGTGGGAAAAACAGAAATGCAAAAGTGGGGAAGAGTAGTGAAGGAAAATCAGGAAAAGGAAAATTGTTTTTATTATTCCAGTGGCTGACAGTATCGAAGCACTGCCAAATCCACCATAACTTGTCCCCTACAGAGTAACCCTTATTTATTGTATTTCTGTCAAGATTTAACTCTCAAGGACAATTTAAATTACCTATTTCCAGCTGTTGAGTAGAGTATCACTGTTGAGTACAGTGTCACTGAAAATTCCAGATGCTGAAACATTCCATTCCTGAACTTGAGAAACAGGTTTTGCCAAGTTAAAATGCCTGAGTCATCCAAAGGACAAAGTCTAGTAGGAAACAGGGGGAGTGAGGGTGGATACTTGGGAGTCATAAACCAAACCCTGAGATGAGGTAGGTGGGATATCAACAGACCTTTGAGGGGCTAATGGTCAGACTGACCACTCCTTCAATTCTCTATGCTCTGTCATCATGTGTCCTAAAAATAATCCATCTGGGGGAGGAGTCAAGATGGCAGAGAAGTAGCAGGCTGAGACTACTTCAGGTAGCTGGAGATCAGCTAGATAGCTTATCCAAAGATTGCAAACACCCACAAATCCAACGGGAGACTGAAGAGAAGAAGAACAGCAATTCCAGAAAGATAAAATCAACCACTTTCTGAAAGGTAGGACTGGCAGAGAAGTGAATCCAAAACGATGGAAAGATAGACCGCGGGGGGAGGGGCCGGCTGAGGGACATTGCTCCAGAGGCTTAACCGGGGTGAAGCCCACGTGGGGTCAGCGTGGCCTCAGGTCCCGCAGGGTCACAGAAGGATCGGGGGTGTCTGAGTGTCGCAGAGCTTACAGGTATTAGAATGGGGAAGCCGGCTACAGAGACAGAGCCGAGGAGTGAGCTCACAGCTCGGGGTTACCTTGAACCGGTCACAGGCTTGGAGCACGGCCGGAGGCCAGGGTGACCTGAGTAATTGGGCGCTATTCTCTAAGGGCACACTGAGGAGTGGGGCCCTGAGCTCTCGGCTCCTCTGGGCTGGAGGGTGGGAGGCCGCCATCTTCATTCCCGTCCTCCGGAACTCTACGGAAAGTGCTCAGGGAACAAAAGCTCCCGAAAGCAAACCCGAGCGGATTACTCAGCCTGGCCCCTGGTAAGGGCGGTGCAACCCCGCCTGGGGCAAAGACACTTGAGAATCACTACAACAGGCCCCTCCCCCAGAAGATCAACAAGAAGCCCAGCCAGGACCAAGTTCACCTACCAAGGAGTGCAGTTTCAATACCAAGGAGAGCAGCGGAATTCCAAAGGAGGAAAAAGCAAAGCACGGAACTCATGGCTTTCTCCCCATGATTCTTTAGTCTTGCAGTTAATTTAATTTTTTTTCCTTCTTTTTCAATTCTTTTTTCTTCTTCTGCTAAATTTTTTTAACTTTTGCCCTTTTCTTTTTTAACGTTTTTTAACTAGTTTATCTAATATATATATATTTTTTTTTTCTTTTTTATATTTTTTCTCTATTCGTTTCCTTTTTTTAATTGTTCTCTTTTTTTTTCTTTTTTTTCTTCTATTTTTTCTGAATCTCTTTTTATCCCCTTTCTCCCCCTGACGATTTAGGATCTCTTCTGATTTGCGTAAAGCGTATTTTCCTGGGGTCTTTGCCACTTTTTCTATTTTACTTGCTCCTTCATATACTCTTATCTGGACAAAATGACAAGGCAGAAAAATTGACCACAAAAAAAGGAACAAGAGGCAGTACCAAAGGCTAGGGACCTAATCAATACAGACATTGGTAATATGTCAGATCTAGAGTTCAGAATGACGATTCTCAAGGTTCTAGCCGGGCTCGAAAAAGGCATGGAAGATATTAGAGAAACCCTCTCGGGAGATATAAAAGCCCTTTCTGGAGAAATAAAAGAACTAAAATCTAACCAAGTTGAAATCAAAAAAGCTATTAATGAGGTGCAATAAAAAATGGAGGCTCTCACTGCTAGGATAAATGAGGCAGAAGAAAGAATTAGCGATATAGAAGACCAAATGACAGAGAATAAAGAAGCTGAGCAAAAGAGGGACAAACAGCTACTGGACCATGAGGGGAGAATTCAAGAGATAAGTGACACCATAAGACGAAACAACATTAGAATAATTGGGATTCCAGAAGAAGAGGAAACAGAGAGGGGAGCAGAAGGTATATTGGAGAGAATTTCCCCAATATGGCAAAGGGAACAAGCATCAAAATCCAGGAGGTTCAGAGAACCCCCCTCAAAATCAATAAGAATAGGTCCACACCCCGTCACCTAATAGTAAAATTTACAAGTCTTAGTGACAAAGAGAAGATCCTGAAAGCAACCCGGGAAAAGAAGTCTGTAACATACAATGGTAAAAATATTAGATTGGCAGCAGACTTATTCACAGAGACCTGGCAGGCCAGAAAGAGCTGGCATGATATATTCAGAGCACTAAACGAGAAAAACATGCAGCCAAGAATACTATATCCAGCTAGGCTATCATTGAAATAGAAGGAGAGATTAAAAGCTTCCAGGACAAACAAAAACTGAAAGAATTTGCAAATACCAAACCAGCTCTACAGGAAATATTGAAAGGGGTCCTCTAAGCAAAGAGAGACCCTAAAAGTAGTAGATCAGAAAGAAACAGAGACAATATACAGTAACAGTCACCTTACAGGCAATACAATGGCACTAAATTCATATCTCTCAATAGTTACCCTGAATGTTAATGGGCTAAATGCCCCAATCAAAAGACACAGGGTATCAGAATGGATAAAAAAACGAAACCTATCTATATGTTGCCTACAAGAAACTCATTTTAGACCAGAAGACACCTCCAGATTTAAAGTGAGGGGGTGGAAAACAATTTACCATGCTAATGGACATCAGAAGAAAGCAGGGGTGGCCATCCTTATATCAGATCAAATAGATTTTAAGCCAAAGACTATAATAAGAGATGAGGAAGGACACTATATCAAACTCAAAGGATCTGTCCAACAAGAAGATCTAACAATTTTAAATATCTATGCCTCTAACGTGGGAGCAGCCAACTATATAAACCAATTAATAACAAAATCAAAGAAACACATCAACAATAATACAATAATAGTAGGGGACATTAACACTCCCCTCACTGAAATGGACAGATCATCCAAGCAAAAGATCAACAAGGAAATAAAGACCTTAAATGACACACTGGACCAGATGGACATCACAGATATATTCAGAACATTTCATCCCAAAGCAACAGAATACACATTCTTCTCTAGTGCACATAGAACATTCTCCAGAATAGATCACATCCTCGGTCCTAAATCAGGTCTCAACTGGTATCAAAAGATTGGGATCATTCCCTGCATATTTTCAGACCACAATGCTCTGAAGCTAGACAATCACAAGAGGAAATTTGAAAAGAACCCAGATACATGGAGACTAAACAGCATCCTTCTAAAGAATGAATGGGTCAACCAGGAAATTAAAGAAGAATTGAAAAAATTCATGGAAACAAATGATAATGAAAACACAATGGTTCAAAATCTGTGGGACACAACAAAAGCAGTCCTGAGAGGAAAATATATAGCGGTACAAGCCTTTCTCAAGAAACAAGAAAGGTCTCAAGTACACAACCTAACGCTACAACTAAAGGAGCTGGAGAAAGAACAAGAAAGAAACCCTAAACCCAGCAGGAGAAGAGAAATCATAAAGATCAGCGCAGAAATCAATGAAATAGAAACCAAAAAAACAATAGAACAAATCAACGAAACTAGGAGCTGGTTCTTTGAAAGAATTAATAAGATCGCTAAACCCCTGGCCAGACTTATCAAAAAGAAAAGAGAAAGGACCCAAATAAATAAAATCATGAATGAAAGAGGAGAGATCACAACGAACACCAAAGAAATACAGACAATTATAAGAACATACTATGAGCAACTCTACATCAACAAATTTGACAATCTGGAAGAAATGGATGCCTTCCTAGAGACCTATGAACTACCACAACTGAACCAGGAAGAAATAGAAAACCTGAACAGACTCATAACCAGTCAGGAGATTGAAACAGTCATCAAAAATCTCCAAACAAACAAAAGCCCAGGGCCAGATGGCTTCCCGGGGGAATTCTACCAAACATTTAAAGAAGAACTAATTCCTATTCTCCTGAAACTATTCCAAAAAATAGAAATGGAAGGAAAACTTCCAAACTCATTTTATGAGGCCAGCATCACCTCGATCCCAAAACCAGACAAGGATCCCATCAAAAAAGAGAAC